AGAAACATCATAAGATCCAACTACAATAGCAAAGCTCGGGATACATCAAGATCGTGCCATCGAGGGAACACGAGAGAGAACACAAGAGAGAGCGATCAAACACATAGCTACTGGTACATACCCTCAGCCCCAAGGGTGAACTACTCCCTTCTCGTCATGGATAGCGCCGGGATGATGAAGATGGCCACCGGTGATGGATCCCCCCTCCGGCAGGGTGCCGGGAAGGGCTCCCGAGAGGTTTTTGGTGGCTACAGAGGCTTGCGGTGGCGGAACTCCTGATCTATCTTCTCCGTGGATGTTTTAGGGTACGTGGGACTATATAGGCGAAAGAAGTCGGTCGGGGGGTGCTCGAGGGGCCCACGAGATAGGGGGCGCGCCTCCTATCTCGTGGAGTCCTCGAGTATCTTCTGACTTGAACTTCACGTCTTCAGGATGATAATCTTCAAAAAAATCACGTTGCCGAAGGTTTCATTTCGTTTGGACTCCGTTTGATATTCCTTTTCTTGGAAATACTGAAACAGGTAATAAAATAGCAATATGGGCTGGGCCTCCGGTTAATAGGTTAGTCCCAAAAGTAATATAGAAGTGTATAATAAAGGCCATAATCATTCAAAACACATAGTAATATAGCATGAATGCTTCATAAATTATAGATACGTTGAAGACGTATCAGCAGCCTGTGGGGCCACCTCGGGGAAACCTTAGGGCTAGTTTTACTCGTAGCTTGTCCCATTCGGTGTGCCCTGAGAACGAGATATGTGCAGCTCCTATCGGGATTTGTCGGCACAGTCGGGTGGTCTTGCTGGTTTTGTTTTACCATTGTTGAAATGTCTTGTGACCAGGATTCCGAGACTGATCTGGTCTTTCCGGGAGAAGGACTATCCTTGATCGTGAGAGCTTGTGATGGGCTAAGTTGGGACACCCCTGCAGGGTATAAACTTTCGAGAGCCATGCCCGCGGTTATGTGGCAGATGGGAATTTGTTAATATCCGGTTGTAGAGAACTTGACACTTGACTTAATTAAAATGCATCAACCGCGTGTGTAGCCATGATGGTCTCTTCTCGGCGCAGTCCGGGAAGTGAACACGGTTTGGGTTATGTTTGAACGTAAATAGTTTTAGGATCACTTCTTGATCACTTTTAGCTTCACGACTGTTGTGTAGCTTCTCATCTTACTCTGATTTGCGTATGTTAGCCACCATATTTGCTTAGCGCTTGCTGTAACTCCACCTCATTACCTTATCCTACCCATAAGCTTAAATAGTCTTGATCTCATGGGTTTTGAGATTGCTGAGTCCTCATGACTCACAGATAGTACCAAAACAGTTGCAGGTGCCGATGATACCAGTGCATGTGATGCTACCGAACTCAAGTGGGAGTTCGACGAGGACCTTGGCCGTTACTACGTGTCTTTTCCTGATGATCAGTAGTGGAGCCCAGTTGGGACGATCGGGAATCTAGCATTTGGGGTTATCTTCTTTTCATTTGGAGTTGTCCGTAGTCAGACTATGTGTGTACTCTGAATGATGTATGGGTTATATGATCTTTGTGTGAAGTGGCGATTGTAAGCCAACTCTATTCATCCCTTTCTTGTTCATTACATGGGATTGTGTGAAGATGGCCCTTCTTGCGACAAAACCACAGTGCGATTTTTCCTCTAAGCCGTGCCTCGATACGTGGGAGATATAGCCGCATCGTGGGCGTTACACTTAGGCTTCTTTATTGTGTGCCCGCCACCTCCGACTGAATCGTTCGCTGCTGCCATCCGCGGTCCTGACTATCCCACTAAAGCCATCTTCTTCTCTGACACTAGCGACCCACAAAGCTCCCCACACCCACACACGTCAACCCTCAAACCGGCCTTTGTCGACGACGCCTCGACCAATCACATCATTACTCGGTCGGCCTTGCCGGCGGACGCCTCAGGCATTGCCTGTTTGATATAAATAAAGAATAGGGAGGCGGAGCCTCCCCGGTTCCATTGTTTGAAACCAGAAATAACAGTCTCATATACAGGTAAAGTCACATAGAACGACGACAAGCCCTCAAAAGGAAGGTTTCCCACAATAGTAACAAAACATATGTAACAAACTAGAATTGGGACAAAAATGTCGTAGAAGAAACTACAGGAGCCAAGCTTTAGAGGGCACTAGGCACGCAACAATCACAGTTGTCTTGGCCTTCTTTGATGTAGTTACTCCAAGCATTGATGACAAGGATCTCACCTCCAAAGTGAAACACAGGGCTCATGAAGTTTTGCATCCTTTCCAACTTGTCCTTTGGCGGTGATGATGGGTTCATCCCATCATCAGAGATCTTGGGAGTACTAAGGATGCCATAAGCAAAGTTTGCGGTGTCCAACGAAGAGGATTTCATATTTGAGGGAGAGGAAGGGCATGTCACACACTTAGACTCCTCAAGGATGCTCTCAACAAATCCAAGAGGGGTCGTGCGTGCGGGGGTGAGGGTGGGGGTGGGGTTGCATAATGAGTCCAACTTCTCCCTCCATTGAATTGGAAATAAGACAACCCAATTCCTAATGGTTTTTAGAATTTTCCGTCACACCTTCCTAATATTAATCCAAAGAATACCATCAAACAAACATGGTGTTTCTATGTTCCAAATGCACCACATAACCGTTGTCTGTTTGATCTTCCTGAATTTATCAACAACTGAATTTTTGTTCACACAACAAATCAATAACAAATGAAAAATGGAAAAAAATGCAAGCAAATGAAGTTTTTGCACCGGAGCACCAAAATTTGTATGGCTCCTGCCCATTTCCACGAAGCAGAAGGAAAAGGTGGATAGGCGGAACCACGTGGACGTGAGCATGGCAGCGGCGCGTGCCCTAACACCATGGCCGTAGAAATAACGACACAGTCTGTCTCACTGTCTCAAGCCCAACCGCATCCCGTGGAGGGCTCTTCCGAGTCCTAGAAGCCAGTAAAAGTGGTCACCCCCATGGGCTTCCAAGCCCTGTAAGCCAATACCCCTCCCCGCCCCACACACACACAACCACCTTCCCCATTTCTTCCACCTCCCACTTGAGTTTTCAAGGAGGAGAAGGCCCTCTGTTAGGTTAGGAACTAATTAACTAAGTTAATTTAGGGATACATCGACTTTGCCTCTATCGTCTGACAGCTCCCCTTAAAATGATAATAGTAACAGTGCATCCGCTGGAGGCCATCGAGGGTGGCTCAAAAGCATTAGCGACATGCTCTCTATCAGCATCTCGCCAGATGCCCATAAGGTAACTCTATTCTTAGGCCTACTGCATACACGACTATCCCAAGCTCCTCACCCGTCTCGTCTATGACCGGCGATGCCATTGGAGTAGATCGGGGACCGGGCTCTTCGAGGTGACTCTCGATGTTGGCTCTCCCTCAAACTTGACTATTCCACTAACATGGCAAGTTTGTGGTTCCTTGCTATGTTGCTTATAAACTCCTTTTCTAATTCAGATTAAATTTTGAGCCATTATCATGCTAAACTAAATAGAATCCGTTCAGTCTAATGCTTTTCTCATGGTACCTTCGTCGTGCGTAGCCTTTTCTTGTTATGTAACTACAATACTAGTTTATTTCCTTTTCGTAATGCTCATATTTCTAAACTGTGAAATAAGAGTACACAATAATGGCTTGACTATATGCGAGTTGCCTAGAAAACAATTTCACGCCACTCGGTTTGATACATTGTCTTTCTCCCCTCCAAGGCCTCTTTGACGTGCGCCCGCCACCTTCGGGTCAATCGCTCGCTCTTGCCCTCCGCGGTCCTGACTATCCCACTAAAGCCCTCTTCTTGTCCGACACTAGCGGCCTAGCTGCACTCACACCCACATGCATCAACCCTTAAACTGCCCTCTGTCGGCGACGCCGCGACGAACCACATTGTTAGCCGCTCGCTCTCGCGGGGATGCCTCGGGCCGCCCCTTTTGATATAAAAAAGGACCATGCTAGCTGGCGAAAGTTCGCCAACTAGGGTGGCATTTGCGAACCCCTGATGACATTTTAGTGTGTTGGGTGAGGGAGGAAGGGTGGCATTTTGCGAACCCTTGACGTCGCAGTTTGTTTAACTACGAAGAGGTTTCGGCACAAAACTGCCACCGTCAGAACGTCTGAGGCGTTTGCCACGATTAGGTCCCTGACAAACGTTCGTCACACAACATTCTAAAGAAAAATCTAGGACAAGCCCTCAAAAGGAAGGTTTCACCACGGCACAGTAACAAACTAGAAATGCAACAAATACGCTACGGAAGAAAGGCCATGAGCCGACCAACTTTTCAGGCAACAGATCAATAGCAAACGAGGACATGGAAAAAGGCGCAAGCAAATGAAGTTATTACACGAAAGCATTGCCAATTTCCGCGAAGCAGAAGGCAAAAACGCACATGCGGCACGGCACGGCGTCCGTCCGCGTGGACGTGAGCGCAGCGGTGGCGTGTGCCCTAACGCCGTGGGCGTGGAGATGACGGCACCGTCCGCCTCGCCGTCTCAGGGCCAGCCGCATCCGGTGGAGGCCGCTTCCGAGCCCCAGAAGACAATAAAAGCGGCCGTCCCCCCACAACGACCTCTTCCCTTTCTTCCACCTCCCACCCAACCCCCACCCCCACCCCGCCCATGTCCTCGCGCCCCTGCTCCCCGCCCCACCCGAGCTAAAAATTGCGAAGCTTTCCGAATGGAGGTGACCGTCGGGTAACCCATCGTCCGTCCGCCCCCGCCATGAGCCCGTGATTCCTAGCAAGTTCTCCGGGGTTCCGGATTTGGTTCAGATTTGTGGGCGTGTTCCCGTGGGGGAACTGATGGTGGGTTACATGGAGTGGTCGCACGATTGGCTGCTGTGGGACGCCTTCTTGGAATGCGGAGGGATCCGGAGGCCGCCGATTAGATAGCGGCCGGGGAGGAGGGAGGAGCGGAGGACCAGGAGGAGGCCGCCATTAGCACCCACCCTGCCACCCACCCACCACCCCGACGCCCGACTCGCCGCCCTGCCTGCCACCCATGGGGGAGGACCTCGTCACCACCCTGTCCATGGAGAACGGCGGCGGCGGCGGGGGCCACCACGGCCTCTGCACCCTGCTCTCCATGGACCCCTCCGGTCACCTCGACGACCGCGCCGTCGGCGTCATGGTGCAGCCACGCGCCAGAGGTGGCGCGCGCGCCCACGCCCACGCCGTGTCCCTCTCCGGCGCCCCGCCGCCCGACATCAACCAGCCGTGGCAGACGGAGCCCTGCGACATGCTCGGCGTCGGCCTCGGGCCGCAGGTCTTCGAAGCCGAGGCCGTGCTCAGCACCGCTCCCAAGGCTGCCGCCGGGAGCCGCAAGACCACCAAGCGCGGGGACAGCATCTGGGGCGCCTGGTTCTTCTTCACCTTCTACTTCAAGCCCCTGCTGTCGGACAAGGCCAAGAGCAAGGTCGTCCGGGACGCCAACGGCGTGTCGGGGTTCGACAAGTCGGACCTCCGGCTCGACATGTTTCTGGTGCAGCACGACATGGAGAACATGTACATGTGGGTGTTCAAGGAGAGGCCGGACAACGCCCTCGGGAAGATGCAGCTGAGGAGCTACATGAATGGGCACTCACGCCCTGGCGAGCCGCATTTCCCTTTCAGCGTGGACAGGGGATTTGTCCGGTCGCACCGGATGCAGCGCAAGCACTACCGGGGCCTCTCGAACCCGCAGTGCATCCACGGGATTGAGGTGGTGAGTTCGCCGAATCTCGTGGGCATCACAGATGTGGACCGGAGGAGGTGGGCGGAGCTCACAGGGAGAGAGCTCAATTTCTCCATCCCACAGGAGGCCAGCGATTTCGGGACATGGAGGACCATGCCAAACTCAGAGCTTGAGCTGGAGAGGCCACACACACATCCTGCCATGAAGAGCAATACTAATAATGTTCAGCAGCAACCCCCCAAGAAGACGCTTAATGGATCAGGCTTGAATTTGTCATCGCCATCCAATCATTCAGGAGAGGACGGTATGGATCTCTCCCCTGTCAGCAGCAAGCGAAGGAAGGAGGCATTTCCACATGCCATGGATGAGGAGTGCTTCTTGCCTCTGAACCCTTGCACTGGGAGGACACAACAAGATATCGAGATGCAGTCGGTAGTGCAGCCTTCGTGGATGCACGAGTTCACCGGGGTGATGAGGAAGGCCTCTGGGCCAGCAACTGCTGCCAAGTCCATTTACGAGGATGATCAGGGCTACTTGATAATGGTCAGCTTACCATTTGTCGATCAACAGAGGGTAAAAGTTTCATGGAAGAACACTCCTACTCATGGCATAGTTAAAATCTTCTGTGTCAGTACAGCCCGGATGCCATACATAAGGAGACATGACAGGGTCTTCAAGCTCACTGACGCCATGCCCGAGCACTGCCCTCCTGGGGAGTTCATCCGTGAAATACCTCTAGCCACCCGTATCCCCGAAGATGCCAAGCTTGAGGCATGCTTTGATGAGGCCGCTGCAGTTCTTGAGATCATGGTCCCCAAACGGGGAAACGAGCCGGAAGAACATGAAGTTAGGGTCTCCATGCGCCCTCCTCACCTGGGAGTGAACGACCTGCTTATGACATAGGTAATGGAAGGTCTATCTTGTGTGTGATCACCAGATCATATGCTCCAAGGGGCTACTGTTAGCATCTTGTTCCGAGACTGTTGCTGTTGCTTACTGTGCCTGGCCTCTTCAGCAACAAGCTTTTGCTGAAGATTAGTTCGTTCTAGCTTGTATGTGACGGGTGTCTTTTTAACCCTCGTGTTCTCTTCTCCTAGCATCATATTGTGGGCCTGTTTGTCCTTGAATCTGTACCAGTTAACAGAATAAAAATTTATATTTGGTGGGTTACTGCTCAATTTTTGGATCTGGATTATAGTAACAATTCTTATGTTAGTACCAGTCTGTACTTCCCAAATTTACAATGTTCTTTGCAGTTAAGAGATTAATTCAGTGCTTCAGCTTATGGTGATGAACTGTAAATGTCTGTATCCAAGTCACAATCATCTTTCATGTCCCGATCAGCATACACCATACAGGAGTTGTTGATGCAGCACTGCTTTGGTCTCTCTGAAAAACAGAAACATCATCCCTTGCATTAAACTTCCATCTGGCGCCTTCTCACTGAATCTCTTGCTCTTGCAACTGGAGTTTTCACGACAGAAATAAAAAGGCTCCTCCATCTTACTTACTACTGGGTGGTAAGCACGATTTGGCAGATTTGGCATCCTGGAAGCTGGTGAACATCTAGTATAGTTTTTCTATGCCTCTTTTCTATAGCTATTTGGTACTAGTAGTACTACCAATCTTTTCTGGGTTTAATAACTGAAGTCTCATGCTCAACATAAGCTGTCTTGTGGTGATCTTCTCCATCTTACTTATACTACTCCAATAGACCTGGGTCTTCTACTGTGGATTGTTGATCTCTATCTACTCCGCTATATCTGGAGAACAAGAAATGAGTGAAGTTTCAAGGCAACAGATGTTATTAACATCAGGTCTATCTTACACCTAACAACTGCTGCTTGTACGTGCCTGTTCCGCTCTAGGTTCAGATAGCTGCAGCCCCCACCCCCCAGCACATACCCCGAGTATGGCACCAGGACACAGACAGGAGCAAGCCTGCTCAGCAAACGGGGCCCAAGAATTCGCTACAATCTGCTTCGGAACCTAGCTGCACCTCCTGGACCTGCTCGATAATGGAAGCACACGAAACGAAATTGCTACATTCTGCTGACGCCTCCTGCCTTCTGGGCCTGAACCTGCTCCTCCTCTGCGCTGCTCAGATTCGAAGCCACAACTTCCTGTTTCTCGAGCACCTTCATTTTCCTGCTCCTCTCGCAACACGGCAATCATACTTCCTCCGTCCGGAAATACTCGTCGGAGAAATGCATAAAAATGAATGTATCTAAAACTAAAATATGTCTAGATACATCCATTCCTCCGACAAGTATTTCCGGACGGAGGGAGTACAATACAAGCAATTAGGGCATCTCCAGCCGCGCCCCCAGGAAGGCCTTCCCAGGCGATTTTTTCGCGCCGGCGCCGAAAAAACGGCCAGTCGCGCCCTCAGGAGCTCGATTTTCGCCGGCTTGGGCCAAAAACAGCGCAGGCGGACCCAGCCCGAACCCGGCGCGCTGGGGGGCGTCCGGAGGCGCCGGGGCGAGCTGTTTTGGCGCGAAAAAGACGCGGGCCAGCCGCGTCAGCGACTCGGCGCCTCGTCTTCCCCCAACGGCCTCGGTTTCCGCGGGGAATCAATGGCAAGGCTGCCGCCGGTCAGCCTTGCCATTGATTCCTCACGGGCGGCGCTTCACGACGCCTCCCCTCCCTCGCACGCGTACACACGGGCGCGGCCCGGCTATAAAAGTCGGCCGCCTCCACTCGCCTGTGCCCACACCAGCCCCGCCCCTCGCCGCCGTCCAGCCCCTCCCTCTCCCTGCCTCTCCCGAGCGCCGCCGCCCAGCCCCTCCCTATACCTCTCCCGAGCCCGCCCAGCCCCGCCGTCGCCATGGCAGAACGCTTCCCCGGAGACGAGGCGGCGGCCAACGGCTTCGGCCGCCGTTCGCTCCGCGAACAAGAGTCCTGGCTCCTATTCCAGGCGAACATCTCGGCGTCACCGGACATGCGCGCCGGGCCAACGGGGTGGAGACTCAGCGCCGGGGGAGTGCCCATTCCCCCGTTGCCCGACGCCGTGGCGAAGCCATCCTACTTCGTCGAGGAGGTCGAGATCGTGCGCGCGTCCCTCACCGACGCCCAGCTCTCCCTCCCCCAGTACGCCGCCGACAACCACACGGCCTGGGCGGCGTATTTCGAGCGCCGCCAGCAGCAGCGATTGGCGTCCACCAACGGCGCGCCGGTGGTCGGCGGCCGGCAGAACAGCGAGGGGCGCCACCTCTGGTGGGGCATCCCCGGCCGCACACTCGAGGGCGTGCTCACGTACCTCGAGGGCGGCAACGACCCGCCGTTGGCGTACCCCCCGGCGCACCACCGACGCGTCGGGCCATGGGCGCCAAGGAGGTTCGGGTCCTCCTCCTCCTCTTCCTCTTCCCGATCCTCATCGCACTCCTCCGGCACACCGGCCCTGCTCGGCGTCAAGGCCGAGCCCGCGGCGGAGTCGCCGCTCGGCCGGCGCACTCGTAGCGTCGGCATCGTCATCAACGAGGGCGGCCGGCGTGCCTCCTCCTCGTCGGCTCCTCCGCGCTTCGTCAAGCCAAAGACGGAGCCGGGGCTGGCGCCGGTGAAGGCGGAGTTCGACGACGACGACGCGGCCCTAGAATGGGCGTGCCAGGACTCCATTGCGATGGAGAAGGCGCGCCGGGAGAAGGTGAAGGAGCGCCAGCGCGTCGCCCTGCGCCGCTTCGAGGAGCGCTGACGCGGCCGCGATGAAGACGGGGTCGTCGTCCTATGCGACAGCGACGACGACGACGACGCGCCGCCGCCAGTCCGCCATGGCGACGCCGGGTCCAGCAGGGGCGCCCGCGTCAAGGAGGAGAATGCCGACGACGACTTCAGCCCCTTTCTTTCTTTGATTAGGTTAATGTAATGAAAATGCGCGAATTTCGCTGAAATTTGCCATGTTTAGCCGAAATTTAACTACTTTTTATCATAACTTCGCCGAACGATCATTTTTTAATACGCGCCTTGGGGCGGCCCTGGGGGCCGACGGCTGGGGACCGACTCGCCCCCAGGGCCATTTTTTGCGCCGGCTCACCCCCAGGCGGCGCTTTTAGACGCCCCCTGGGGGGCCAACGGCTGGAGATGCCCTTACTAACTCTGAAGATGTTGCCAAGTCAGCCATTGAACGGCAGGTGAAACCAACTGGCTTCCTCAAATAAGAGGGAAGTTGCATCCAAGCAAAATTCAGTACAATGCCCTCTTGGTGTCCATTCAACGATGTGTCTTATCAATAAGTTTTACTTTTACCCCAGAGGCATTGTTCCCCACCCGAACCCTACTAATTCATGAAACAGGCTTTCGCCCCGCTATATAGATATAGCAACCACCTGATACAACAAAGAGTCCAATGCTGGGGCAAACAGCACAAGCATGCCCAAAAGAAACAAAAGAGAAAGAAGAGAAAAAAATGTCGACAGCGTCGGATCGACGAAAACGATGATGCACCGGAGATTTACCACCTCGCACCTAGCATCTCGAACCTTCGCATACCAAGCAACACCTTCGGGAAGGAAACGACGACGACGACGCTGATGCCCGGACAAGTCCTAGGGTTTTCCCCGGTACACGGTGGGGCGTGGGGAAGGAGAATACCCGACACCCTTCAAGAAGGAACGATGGCGCCCAGGGCGTCACCGCATCGGTGCCAACAAGCCGGCAGGAATTTCTCCCCTCAACCAATCACCCACATCCCCGAATGGTCCAATGCGCTCCACCACTCATGCCGCCCACCAACATGCGCCACCACGGTCTTGCCATCATCACCGCTGCCTCACCATGGTCAACGAAGCGAGACCGACGAGGTCGAAAGGGAGCAACCGAGAACGAGGAGCGGCAGCGACAGCAGCCACGCGGGAGGAGACAACCTCCACCGCCGTCGGCGGTCATCGACCGGACGCGGCGAGAGGAGCATACCGGGTCCTCGAGGCCAGGCCGAGCCCAAAAGGGGCTCGTGAAGCGCCCGTCGCCGCGCTGCAGTAGGCGCACCACCATCTCCACAACCCCCTGCACAAGCCGCACCTCCTCTGCCCCCGCCGGAGCCGCCACAGACGAGATCGAGCCAGGCTCGCCCAGACACGGATGGGGCCCAAAAGGGGGCTAGTCTGGGCCGAGAGGGCGCCACCACCATCCACCGCGCCAGCCCGCCACCAAGTGGCCACGTCGCCGCCCCTTGGCCACCCGGAGCCACGCCGCCAGAGCAGCCGCTGCCGTCGGAACCTCTGCAGACCGAGGAGCACCGCCGCGGGTCATCCCCACCCGAGAGAGGGCACTGTCGGTGTCAAAACCGGCGGATCTCGGGTAGGGGGTCCCGAACTGTGCGTCTAAGGCTAATGGTAACAGGAGACGGGGGACACAATGTTTACCCAGGTTCGGGCCCTCTCGATGGAGGTAATACCCTACTTCCTGCTTGATTGATCTTGATGATATGAGTATTACAAGAGTTGATCTACCACGAGATCATAGAGGCTAAACCCTAGAAGCTAGCCTATGATTATGATCATTGTCGTCCTACGGACTAAACCCTTCGGTTTATATAGACACCGGAGGGGGCTAGGGTTACACAAAGTCGGTTACAGCGAAAGAGATCTACATATCCGAATTGCCAAGCTTGCCTTCCACGCAAAGGAGAGTCCCAACCGGAAACGGGACGAAGTCTTCAATCTTGTATCTTCATAGTCCAACAGTCCGGCCAAAGTATATAGTCCGGCTGTCCGAGGACCCCCTAATCCAGGACTCCCTCAGTAGCCCCTGAACCAGGCTTTAATGACAATGAGTCCGGCGCGCAGATTGTCTTCGGCATTGCAAGGCGGGTTCCTTCTCCGAATACTCCATAGAAGATTTTGAACACAAGGATCATGCCCGGCTCTGCAAAACAATTTCCACGTACCACCATAGAGAGCATAATATTC